TTTGCACTTCACTGATCATGTGATACAGACCTGAAACCATTAAAGTCCTAGAAGAAAATAAAGGCAGTAATTTCTTTGACATCAGCCATAGAAACTTTTCTTTTCTAGATAAGTCTTCTCTGGCAAGGGAAACAAAAACAAAATTAAGCTTATTGGCACTACACTAAAATAAAAAGCTTTTGCAGACCAAAGGAAAGCATCAACAAAACAAAAAAGCACCTACTGAATGGGAGAAGATATTTACAAATGATATAATCTGACAAGGGGTTCATATCCAAAATATAAAGAGTTTATACAACTCAGTGGCAAAAAAACAATCCAATTAAAAAATGGGCAGAGGACATGAATAGATATTTTTTCAAAGAAGACATACAGATGACCAACATACATGTGAAAAGATAACAATGCATTCTTAGATGAAACCGAAAGCCCAAGAAACAAAACAAAAAGAAAACTGGACTTCATCAAAAATTTTCATGTATCAAAGGATACTTTAAAAATCCTAAAAGGGCAACCTACAGAACAGAAAAAAATATTTGAAATCATACATCTGATCAGAGTTTAATATCCAGAGTCTATAAAAAAAACTCCTATAACTCAATAACAAAAAACCACCACCAAATTAAAAGCAGCAGACTTTTATAAACATTTCTTCAATAAAGATACACAAATGGCAGATTAGCATGTGAAAAGATATATAATTGAACGGGAACTCAGATACTCACATGTCAACATTCATAACACCATCTGCAATAGACCAAAAGGTGAAACAACTCAAGTGTCTATTATCAGATGAATGAGTAAACAAAGTGTAACACAGGCACAGAATGGAATACTACTCAGCCATAAAAATTACTGAAGTCCTTATACATGCTACAATATGGGTGAACCTTGAAAACATTATAGTAAGTGAAATAAGATAGACACAAAAAGATAAACATTGTACAATTCTACTTATGTAAAGTACCTAGAGTAGGCAAATTCATAGAGACAGAAGGTAAATCAGAGGTTACCTGGGGCTAGAGGAAGAGGAGAATGGGAAACTATGGTTTAGTGGCTATGGAGTTTCTATTTCTGGTGATGAAAACATCCTGTGACTAGAGGTGATGGTTCGTAACACTGTCAAAATAATGAAAGCCAAACATGGTGATTCACAGACCTGTACCCCTAGGGATAAAAATATATTATATGTTTATAAAAAATAAAATTTAAAAAAAAATAATAAAATAATGAAAGCCACTGAATTATACACTGAACAGTGGTTAAAATGTCAAATTTTATGTTACCTATATATTGACAAGTTTTAAAAATAATAAAATTAATGTTACTAAACACTGAATCATATTTAAATAAGTAAATTTGTATGATGTGCGATAATTGAATAAAGCTGTTAAAATACACATGAATATTTACCTCAAAGTCATGTTTACTAGATGTAACAAAAATGAGTTTTTGTTTTATTCTTTTTCTTCATCGTCCATATATGGTAATTTCAGATACATATTATAAACACTTACATGTTTTTAATCAATACTAAAACAATTGTTAGTTAATAAGCCATGAATTGAATTCCTTTAGAGTTATACATATGCTCACTAAATTTAAATTGGAAATTCCCATTGGAATTACCCTAGTTCACAGTAATGACATCTCTCTTTCAGCCTATTCAAAATGCCACCCTATATAGCTACTATGCATACTGGACACAGCAGGAGCTTAATAATAATTTAAGTGAACACATGATTAAGTTATGGATGGAAAACTCATGTGATCCATGCTGCTTTTTTCTCTCTACTCCAAACTTCCAAGTCAATTCCCTGCTGATTCCTGAAGGTGGTGAGATTCTTTGAAACCTCAACTCTTTCAGAGCTGTATGCCTACTGACAGATAGTGTTAAGTTAAATGTAGCATTTTTTAGCCTAATATAGGCTTATCATTATACATTACAGTGTTAGAACTAGCAGAAAACTTCACAGACGTTTTGTTTTCCTTATAGAAGGATCTACCACTTTAAGTAAAACTCTTTATGTCTGAATATAAAACATATAATTGATGCATATGGAAAATTATATCATAGTACTTGAAATAGTAAATGTACGGAGTGGACACTAGAAATTTACTTAATGTAAGTATCTATTGATGATGGGTGATATTTTATACTATAAACAGAAACTACATTAAAAATTAAGCCTAACAATTCATATTTGGGGACATATCTTTGATAGGAAAATTAGTAGTAGTTTGTGACTGCTAATAAACATAATTTAAGGAGGGACAAATTTACCACTGCTCACATTCTGCTACTCATACCATGACCCTTTCCTCTTTTACTACAACTTCACATTCTTACCTTAAGTGCAACCTTTCCTTCTTTGTGGTCACCTGATCCCCAAAGTCTACCACCTATAGGTCTTTTTTTTTTTTTTTTCACTCTAATAGAAAATTATTTAAGACTTAAAATCCTCTTGGGGGGAAAAAAGTTGCTCCAATACCTGAATTTAACAACTGGAAAACTGATCAATTTACCTGACTTCTGCCTGCCAATCTTGGTCTAGGTCATTTGGGATTCTAGCTCCAAAGCCAAAAATAATTGTCTCACATCAAGATCTTTTTGTATTCCTTGCACCTCACTTCTATCCGAATGACTGCCAAGCCTGTCCCTTCAGTTCCTGGTTGCCTGCTTGGCCTTTGGACCATCTGTCCTCTCTAGGCCTATGGTTTAGATTTCCTCTTGCTTCCTGATTTCATGCCTGATTTCAGCTGAGATTAATTTTTCTTTTTTAAATGTTTTTAAAAAGATCTTATTTATTTGACAGAGAGAGAGATCACAAGTAGGCAGAGAGATAGGCAGAGAGAGAGGGGAAAGAACGCTCCCTGCTGAGCAGAGAGCCTGATGCGGGGCTTGATCCCAGGACCCTGAGATCATGACCTGAGCCAAAGGCAGAGGCTTAACCCACTGAGCCACCCAGGCACCCTGAGATTAATTTTTCTGAGTGGTGTCTGCATTCGTCTGATCTTTATCTAGTTCCTAGTTTCCATTTTGTTTTGTTACTTCCTACCTTGATGTTCAGTCTCTCCTGTGCCAGCCTTTGTTTTGGCATTGTGACATACTCTGAAATTTCCATTCAACTCCCTATCTAGTCTCAATTCTAAAAGCAACACTGCCTAGGCCTGCACCTAACTGTAGCATTTACTGAGCTTACCACTCTGAGAAGTTTACATTGACTACTAGTCCTGGAGGAAGGAAAGGCAAAGAATAAAATACCACTTATTCAACCTAACTGTAGCAAATCCCAAGTACTCACTTACTGTAGTTAAGGAATTAACAGATATTTGTTGCATCATTTAAGAGCGTATCTATGAATTTTTTTCCAATAATAACCGACAAATATAGCTCAGATATATATATATATATATATATATACACACGCACACACACAAATATAGCTCAGATATATATATATATATATATCTCCCTATGGATTGATACCCAAAATGTAGACTCAATGAGGGTCAGCTGGTTAAGCTATTGAATATTTAAGCCAATTGTACAGAAATAGTGGAGATTAGGAAGCTTTGAAGACTGAATCAACAGAAAGGACACATTGCCAGCCAAACACAATTACCCAGACCAGGCTGTTGGCCTATGTGTTTTGGTAGATGACAATAAGAAGTCATTAACTGAAGATATCTTTTCAAAAAACAAGTTAAAGTCAAGCAGAGAGAGTCAATTATCATATGGTTTCACTTATTTGTGGAGCATAACAAATAGCATGGAGGACAAGGGGAGATGGAGAGGAGAAGGGAGTTGAGGGAAATTGGAAGGGGAGGTGAACCATGAGAGACTATGGACTCTGAAAAACAATCTGAGGGTTTTGAAGGGGCGGGGGTGGGAGGTTGGGGGAACCAGGTGGTGGGTATTGGAGAGGGCACGGATAGCATGGAGCACTGGGTGTGGTACAAAAACAATGAATACTGTTACGCTGAAAATAAATTTAAAAAATTAAAAACAAAATAAAACAAAACCCAACAAGTTAGTTTCCTCTTTACTGCCTTTTCCCTTAGGATTTAAGGGTATATGATTGACAGACTTATTGTCATTAAACCCTGATTAGGCAAAAATACTCAGGTGTTACTAGATTTTTTTCCTCCTAGCTGTCCTCAAGACACTGGCAATCATCCTACAATTGGTCTTCCATTCTCCATTATGCTTGTGTGTGTGTGCATATATGGGATCATTCTGTATATCTTTAATGGGGTGTATTTAGTTATCTGGTTATATTTTTTGTTCCCCTGGTGGGCATTTTTTATTCTCAACAGTTGTGACCAAGTATTCCAAGGCTTGTTGTCTTCTAGTAAGTCTGTGGACTCTTAAGTAATTAAGTAAACCACAAAAAGAAAATGATCATTTAGGAGTTCAGTTAATCAGAGTATATTAGCAGATCTAGACCAACATGTGAGCTTATCAAGGACACATCTCTTTATGATTCATTTAAAGGAAATGCTAACATTAAGAACTCTTCAAAAAACTCATATTTAAATTTGCTATTTAAAATGTTAAAGAATGACTCATTGCTATAGATTTTTATGACAAACACTGTCACTAAAAATAGTCCTCAGGATTTGGTGTTTGGCACTTTTGAAGTCTAAGGTAGCCTTTCCGTATAGCTGGTTCTTTATAATGTTGTACCCTTTGTACTACCTGAGTAATACTTTAAGAAATCAATTTTAAGACCAATTTATGCCACTTTTTATCTCCCTGTGTTTATTTTGATTTAAATATTCAGAGGTCAAATAACATTTACTTTCAAGAATGTAGTTGCATTAGTGTCCTGCAAAGAAAAAAAATAATAATAACTTTACTTATGGTAATACATTCATAAAAATAAATATGCTGGCTAGAATGTGTCCCTCAAAGATGTCTACCAGGTAATAAACTGGAAATGTGGTGTGCTACATTTCAATAATTATTCTTTTTTTATGGTCCTGTGTGCTTCAAGGAAAACTAAAGGAAGTGTTAACTGTGCATTTGTTAATCCGGTTTATGGGAACTGGAGTAACCCAGAGAAAACAGAGGTAAGTGGTAATGGTGAACTGTATTGTTTCAGAAGCAAAAATATATACACACATACACAGACACACTCACACATGCACACACACACACACACACACACACACACACACACAGTGTTATTTGGACACGTTTCCATATCATGGCTAAGAAGAATATTTTAATGGAATTATTTTATTGGGAATGGGAAGGGTTTTAGTCTCTCTGAATGTGTAATGAGAATTTTCCATTCCAGGACAGATTCAATCTGTTTGTAAAGTCAGTTCAATGTTAAGTGGCTTTGTGGTCACTGTTCATACTCGACAAGAGCTGACAAATCTGGAAAATATCAGTTTAACCCAGAGTATTACTCAGCTACCCATAGTAACTCTTTATTGACTATTCTTTGTATTCTATTCCCAAAGACAAAAGGGAGGACAGCATTCCGTGCTGTGTTTTAAATTTAGGTGTGAGCAGTAAAGGGCTATTACCGGCTAATTTACAAGACTAAAGGAGAAATTAAAGTGTATTACATCTTCTTGGGACTTTTTAGGGCTATTTCTTATCAGTGCACTAAGTAGACTAGAAAGAAAATGAAGTAAAATCTTTCTCATCTCTTTCTTAAGTAGATAATATGAGCATTCACTTAGGTATAAAATAGGATTAGCCATGACGCATCACTTCTTATCTGGGAAAACCTCCTTACATCTGATTTTAGCAATATTTTATCAGATTCATTCTTGTCAAGGTGAGCATATAGAAAGCTAAAGTGTTTCTTTCCCCCCTATTATTTTTAAATGAAAATAGGCCACAAAGAGTTGTTACCATTATTTAAATGAGTAATAAGGTGCCAGATTAGATGATTTCTAGTAGTTTTGGAGCTTTGGTTAATATGGTTGAAGGCTGACACAACACTTGACTTCTTAATTTGTGTTTTACTCAATAATGATATTGTACATACTTTTAGTATTATTTTGTTAGGAATGAAAACAAGAAAATATTTCCCAGCGCACAAAGAGAATCAATTTGGATGATCTGTCAAGTCAGTCAAGACACAGAGTAAAACTTAATATAGGCCCCCACCTTTCTCCCTCCCCACTTCAAATGGATAATAAATAAATAAATGGATATTTGAGAAGCCTAAGGTATCTTTCTGGCAAAGTAGGCAGGTGTAGTACAAACTCACTTTCATTTTAGGAAAGGAAAGAAAATTTAATCTTTTTTTTTTTAATCTTTAACATTTAGTATCTGAAAGATACAAATGATATAAGTGTTTTAAATTTGGCATTTTTATATTGATATCTTAAAATTGTAATAGTTAAAAAGCTGCTAGGAAGGTACTGTGCATCTTTTACTTTCTACTGAGAAATGGCTGCTCTGGCACACAGTGGGGGTTCATATCAAACACCCACTTTTCAAGGTGCTTTCAAGACTATGCTATGTATGCACATGGCAGTGCAATTGATGACTCTAAAGAAACTTGGAAGCAATTTCCTTTTTTCTATACAAATAAAAAAAAAATTTCCTCTTTCACATTTTTTCCCGTTTCATCAAGAATGGCTAGAGAAGAAATTATGTCACAGTTCTTGAACTTTGTTGCTGCTTTGATTTCTATTGTTTCAGAAACAATGATGTTGTATTAAACTAAGTGTACCTTCCCTGACTTTGTAACAGAGAAATAGATTTCTCCAAAATACTTTTCCAGAACCTCTTAGAGAAAATTCTCAAATTCTGATACAGAAATTGTAAGAATAGTATACCAAACTACCATATACCCATCTCCCAACTTCAATCATTTCAACTCATTATCATTCTTGTTTCACCTCTACTACCACCCATTTCCACTACACACCAGAATGGTAGTATTGGTTCATTTTTTTTTTTTTAATTTATTTGACAGAAATCACAAGTAGGCAGAGAGGCAGGCAGAGAGAGAGGAGGAAGCAGTCTCCCCGCTGAGCAGAGAGTCCGATGCGGGGCTCAATCCCAGGACCCTGGGATCATGACCTGAGCCGAAGGCAGAGGCTTTAACCCACTGAGCCACCCAGGTGCCCCGGTTCATTTTTTTTTTTTAAAGATTTTATTTATTTATTTTGACAGAGAGAGAGAGAGAGAGAGAGAGAGAGATCACAAGTAGGCAGAGAGGCAGGCAGGGCAGGGGGAGCAGGCTCCCTGCTGAGCAGATAGCCTGACATGGGGCTCGATCCCAGGACCCTGAGACCATGACCTGAGCTGAAGGCAGAGGCCAACCCACTGACCCACCCAGGCACCCACCCAGGCGTCCCCCCAGGCACGTTTAGAGCTGTTTTAGGTCCATAGCAAAACTGAGCAGAAGACACACAGAGTTCTCATATATCTCCCCACCACACACAAACACATGGTCAACATCCTACAACAGAATGGTACATCTGTTACACTGACAAATCTGTATCTACCCACCATCCAGAGTCTATAGTCTACATTAGGGTTCACTCTTGGTTTTAACCAGGGTATTTTTAAACAAATCCCACATATCATTAGGTTTCACCTGTAAAGACTTACGTTGTAATATTAAGGGATAAAGACTTTAAAAAATATAACCACAGTATCATACCTAAAAATTTAGTAATTCCTTGTTGCCATTAAATATTCAGTGTTCAATCTATCCCCACTATCTTGTAAATAAATAGGGGGGTTATATTTGTTGTTGTTGCTATATTTTTAAAATCAGGATGAATATAAGGTATATCATCCAAACTGACAGACATGTCTCCTAAGACTCTTTTAATCTCTAGGCTCCATTTTCTCTCTCATGTTTTCCTTGCATGTTCTTTGTTGAAGAAATCAGTGTTTGTTCTATTAGAACTTAGCAAATTTTAGGTTTTCTAATATACTCTATAAAATATAACTCTCTCAACTAAAAGTCAGGTTTGTTTTGTATTTTTTTGTTTTGTTTAACTATGATCAATACAGCAGACTTAGAGAAACCAGGACCACAGAAAAGAGGTAGTCAAGATCCTACCACTGTTATGTCCCCATTCCACCAGAGGTGAGGGTAAGGCAGTGACTCTCATGCCCCAAGGGCCTAGGACACATACCAACCATAGGCCTGTCAGCGGTGTAGGCAGTGTGGATTGTAGGTAATGGGGAGAGAGTCAGGAATGCTCTAGTTATTACTTCAGTGGAAATCCATTAAAAACTCATTGTATTCTGCATGATCTGGAAAGAAGTCTGTTACTTTAATGCTTAAAATCCTAACCTTTTCAATGTGGTTTTTTTTTTTAGAGTTCTGTATACTCCTTCTCATATCCATTATATGGCACAACATCAGGATGCCTGGAGACCATATCTAATCATCTGAAATAGTACCATCCAAATCCAGTATGATCTAGGGTATGTAGTTTATAGAAAATCCTACTCTGAAACCTGATAGAAACTCATCTTATGCAATAGTAAAAATAGAAGGAGTTCAGAATACTAGTGCAATTATTACATTTACAAATAAATTTTCTTACTGAATATATTAGATGTTTTCATGGAATCTGAATCAGAACTTATATTCTTTGTGTATCTGAATATTTTAATAAAATGTTCTACTTGAGTTTCCTGTTTTCCTTTGATTTTATCATGATCATTTTTTAAAATTACAAATCAAACTGTTTTGTATCCTGAATATAAGTGTTAAAATGCTTACTTAAATGAGATAGAGCTTAGAAACAAGAATAAGTGAAAAATTAATATACAAATTAGCAGGAATGGACAAATTACACCAGTCCTAATCCACATAATTATGAGTAAAAGTTATTTCTGCATCTTGAAAAAAAAAAGTGAAATTGTCATCCTAATCATGCCTTTATTCAAATAATTATTTAACACATATCTTTATATAGATATAATACTGAAATGAGTTAAAAAGCTTTGGACTTTAAGAAACTGAAAAATCCCTATTTCAATTGTTTAAATAATGTGGCAGTTAAAATCCCTAAAATCAGGAAATTGGGAGGTAGAGCACTTTCTTTGGTTGGTTTTTGCAAAAGCTCCATGCCTTCAGCAAGGATTCTGGTTATTTATAAGTTTTAGCTCTAGATTATGTTCTCAGGCTAGCTCTCCTACAAGTTAGAGGATAGCTTTATAGGCTGCGGCACTGTTGCATTCACAATGAAGTTCGGAGGCAGAAAAAGGGGCGATTTCTCTTGTGTCACCTTTTACCAACAAGAAAACCCTTATCAGGCTGCACTCCCAGCAACAGCACTCTTACTGGCCAGGAGAGACATGGACTCCATGCCAAACCAACCTCTTGAAAGGTGATGAGGCCACCATGGCTGGCTGACACCCTTCACTATACCTGCTAGGCTGAGAACGGACGCGTGAAGCTCACTGAGAAGGACTTAAAGGTAGATACTTGAACAAAATTAGAGGATAGTTAGATCAAGAAGGGGACATAACCATATAGCAAGCAACTATGTGCATCTGCTTTAAATAATAATAAGGGGAATGTTTCCTTGCAGTCTACTGGATACAGACAAAATTAGTGATCAGTAACCTGCCAGTCCTCTGTTCTTAAGGGTTTGGAGAGAAGAATAAAAGTTCATGAATCACTATCACATGATCATTTATGACATTCCTCAGCCCAATGTAAGGTCAGTTGTATACAATATAAGGTTCACTACCAACTTATTAGTGCCTCTTGTGAAACTACAGACTGGGAAAAAATATATTATTGTTCATTAACCTTCCAACATATTAATCTCAAATTTTATCCCTGTTAATTGTTTTGAAGCCCATTAACTGCATTCTAGTTGCACTCTCTCTGATTATCTTTTAACTGTTGCTTTCTTATTGAAGTCAAAATTTTTGATCCTAGAAAAACTCACACAAAAGAGGATCACTTATTCTTATTGCTGAAGTTTGGCCCCTGACATTACAGTACATATACATTTGGGGAAGCTGCACTTTTTTAGCTTAAAACTATCATTGGGGTGCCTTGGTGGTGCAGTTGGCTAAGCGTACCACTCTTGGTTTGGGCTCAGATGGTGATCTCAGGGTCATGAAATCAAGCCCTGCATCAGGCTCCGCATTCAGTGAGGAGTCTACTCAAGACTTTCTCTCCCTCTCCTGGTGCTCTCTCAAATAAATGAGTATTAAACAAAACAAAACAAAACAAAACAAAAACTATCATCCAGAAACATTCAGAAGCTTTGCCTAAGCTTAAAGAACAGGAGTGTGTTAAAATTCAAATACGGTTTTAGTAAAAGACCTCAGGGCTACTATAGGAGAAATGTAGGGAAAATGCCATTTTACAAAAGAAATAATAGCAATGATTATCCAGATTAGGCTTGTTTCATAGGAGTACTGAGGAAATTCATGACATACAGGTAGCTCCAAACTGAGGGTAACAACAGAAAATCAACAGAGATCAGAAATTAAGGTATTCTTAAGAGTAGTTAAAATTTTTTTCAGGTGCAAGTTGTGTGCCCCCTAAAACGTTTAAATCAAACATTTTGTGAGGTCTTATAAATATATATGGTGATTCTATGAAACTAAAATAATGGAACTGATTTTTTTCCTATCCAATAGATAGAAGAGGTATGTGTTTGTTGTTTTCATAATTGAATGTGACATTCAGGAATAAAAAGATTGTTTTAATTTGCATTGTTCTTCCTCTACTTTTTGATGTAAGTCCAAATCTGCATCATTGTGATTTTAAAAATATAAAAAAAAAGAAAAATAGAGGAAAGAAGAACAAGAAGTATATGGAGTTCACAAATTATATAATTCAGCTTTAAATTATGAAAAGATCTCAAATTTCACACAGGACACAGAATCCATTGAAATCATTTTTTTTTTTTTTTTTTTTGAAGCCAGTGAATGTCAGGAGAATGGATCCTAACGAGTATAGCTGATTCTTAGGGTTTTTTGTGCATATTTAAGATGTGCATAATATTCTTGTTAACTGAATTCATGTGACCAACATATTTCCCAAATATACTATAAACACATAATAATATTAATAACAGCAACAATAAATGATAAGTACTGATTATCTGAAAACTGTTAAGTATTTTACATGTTTTAACTCAGATAAATGTAAACAGCATACTATATACTATGGTAGTCAGCCACATGTGGATACTTAATATGAAATTTACATTAATTAAAATTAAATAAATTTGAAAATGCATCTCCTCAGTTGCACTAGCCACATTCCAAGTGCTCAACAGCCATGTGTGACCAGTGACCACTATAATGGAAAACACTGGAAACATTTTCATAATATAAAGTTCTTTCAGACAGCACTGTTTAGAACAATGTTGAAGTATTTTGCTATAAATAGCACAAAAGTAATCTGTAATCTCTACAAATATAAGAAGCACGAGAAATGGCCAATTTCTAGAATAATAACAAATTTTAAATAAAACAAGCCATAATTATCTGAAAGAAAACTAACAAATATGTGATAAACAAGTACATATTATTAGTGCTCTCTTGACATATAAATGTATTCAAATAACATTCTATCATACTATATCATCTTTGCTATTCCTTTTTCCACATTTTGATGGCACCTTGAAGAAACTGTGTAAGAATTTGCTTTTCTCTATTAATCTTCTTGACCATCAATCATTTTTCACATATACCACACTAAGAACAAGATTCACAAATCCTTTAACTACTAACTGCCTATGTTTGGCATATTAAGGGAATGTGCTTCAGGTAAACCAACAACTATATTCATGGCAACATCTTTTGCAATAAGTAGTCTTAAATTTCACCTTAAAGATAAAAACCAGGGAAATTCCATAAAAAGCTGTGACTTTTTTTTTCAACCCAAAATGCCTTTTAAGAATAAGATTAAGTATGTATTTCACTGCCAAACCAATGACAGGTTTGTGAGTCTTAATGTTTTTCTGCTCTTCTTTGTATCAACTGGCAAAATACTTTCCATTTCATTGCTAATGTGTCTAGAAAGCTAATCCAAGGGTTAATATCTAAAGTTATCATCACTCTATGTCCCTCTCTTTAAATAATTACAAGTGGAAAGGCACCACACTTCAATGAGCACACATTGTGAAATTTCAATGAAAGTAGATACATGTTATATATTGAATTAAAGAACTCTACAACTATGAATCAGTTAAAACATGCACAAAAATAAATAAGAAAATAAATGAATAAACAAAATACTTAAGGACCCACTTAAAAATTCACACTGATTCATGTCATTAAACATCCTAAGAGAGTGGAGTGCTCTAAAGAGCACATTTTCTTCTCTAGAATGTGGAAGCAAAAATAAAGAGCTTTTTACTTTTCTATATTTTTATACATTTATTTATTTAGGTCTGGTTCTGGGTCCTGTCAAGATGACTTCCTTTAAGTTTTATATTTATTCAGAGTTGTGTTACTAATAAATCAGCTCAGGAAATTAGCATAATTTTCTGCAGTCACTATAATACAATTTGGGGTCAATAAAAATAAAAAAACAGCATAAGAGATCAGAAATAGCAGTCCTAGTTTCTCTATCTAGATTTCCCCCCACAACAGATACTAAGTAACCATGTAATCTATTTCTACCCATAAACTAATGGTTAAAGAGAAAAATAGTCACTGTGGGGTAACTATAATTGCTATTCATCTGTTCAACAAATATTTGTACATAAATATTACATTGAAATAAGACAGAAAGTGAGAGGAGAGTGAATAGCAAATACAATATATAAAGTGGATTGTTCCCATCTGGAACTTCTACCTTGCCCTACATGGGACCTCTAAATTTTTCTCTACCTTGTTAGCACTCCAGTGCTAATACATATCTTTAAGCATATAAAGTAGGAAGTTGATAAAATGAAATAAATAAATAAATACACACACACACACACACACATATATGTGTATACATATTTATTTTTTTTCCAATGAAGGGGACCAATAAAATTAAATGCAAGTTCTTTAAAAAGAATAATAAATCCCTGATGAAACAACAACAGAAACAAAATAAACCCTCAGTGAAGTAAATTAATAAAAACCTCAGGAAATGAATCAAAGATAGTTTATGCACAAATAGCCTATGTCAGAAATGGAAATGTTATTATCACCAGATTCTACAAACAGTGAGAAGGTAATGAAGATATTATAAAAAAACAAAAACAAGAAGAAATACGACAAAAAATTATAAAACTTTAGAGAAAATAAATTCCTGGAAAATATAATTTTCTAAAACACCCATAATACAATGGGGCAAATGTAGCCAAGAAACTGAAAAAATATGGTATGAGGATTTCTTTACTGGATATCATATATAAAGCTAGAATAATTAGCAGATGGTGGTTTTGGCATAAAAATAGACATATAGAACAATGAGGCAGACGAGATTCCAGAAACAGATATACACATATATGATCAATCTATCTACCTATTACACCTGATCTATCCATGTGGCACTACAGAACAGTACATAAAGAAAGGCATGTCAATAATGGGTTGAAAATTTTGTGTTCATTAGAAAAATGAGTAAAACCTGACTCCCACTATAAATCAATATTAGGTGGATTTTGATGTATACGTAAAGGTGAACAGTAATAACACAAACAATAATATACATCC